GTGGGAGGAGGGGGGAGGGAAATGGGAGGCTGGGAGGAGGCGGGAATTTCTTTTTTTTTTTTCAATAAAAAAAAAATGAAACCAGCTTCTCCCAAACTGCTGCTTCTTTCTGAAAAAATACGCATTAAACTCCAAAACAAAAACATGAAAAAAAAAAAAAACAAGAAAGGTAAATGACCGGCTCAGAGTAAGAACTAGAAAGGTGAAGACCATGGCCACATTTCAGACTGTCATTCAAGATCCTTGCTCTCCCCACTGCCACACACACTTGGGGCTTGGCTGTCTCTGGTTGGCACTGAAGATTTTCCCACGGAAGCAGTGTCTCCACTGAATCCTGCAGAATGTGTACATTTACAGGGGGTTAATGAAGACATAATCTATGGGGACTGCTTAAGGACATAAGACGCAGCCTAATGTGATGGCAGCAAAACAGGGGTCATGAGAACAGGTGACATGGGGAGCGTGCAGATGGTAAGTCCTCTGATAATTGTGAGGGGATTCGGGGCAAAATCATAGCTCTGTGTCTAGGTCCCTTTTGCCGAACAGACAAAACAGCACCCTAAACTAACTGTACAACTATGTACCAACTCTCTATCCTGGACTGTTTAATTCCCTGTTTCCATGTTCCATTCAAAAGGAAGGCTAATGCTTCCATCCTTCTGCCCATCCCTTCAAGTTTCATCCACAGTGTAATATATGAGAAACAAAGGCAGCTTGCCTTGTTTGTCGGCTGCTGAGAACAGGACACCAACAAGCTTGGTCAGAATCCCTCTGTGTTGAAGGACAAGCCCATGGGACTTACTCTACTTTGTTTCTTGTGTCCATGTGGGCAGATCTTGAAGGTTGGCTTGGATTTAAGAAGAAAAACAAGGTGTGTCTTCTTGTTTAGTTTCCCAAGAAAGTAGAGAACCTTGGGAATGTCTGCCATCTTGCTGTAAGATCTTTCTGTATATCTTTCTGAGGCACTTTGGAGCACAGACTCCGCAGTAAGCTTGCGGGCTTTACCTCCCTTACTTACATCCAGTGTCTCCAAGAACTGCCTCGCTAGAAGCCTAGAGCTGGGAATCTTGAGCATTTGCTCAACTATGAATAAAGTGGCACTCTGTTCGCCCATTGGCTGCGTTCTTTATGCATATAGACTCCTTGGCAGTGAATGCTAATGGATGAAAAGGAGAAGGGGCAAGATGTGTAAAAAGAAACAAGTGTAGGAAGAACAGGAAAAGGGGAGGAGACGTCTAGTTAGGTTCCTATTGCTGTGATTAACACCCTGACCAAAAGCAACTTGGGAAGGAAAGGGTTTATTTCATCATAACTGTTCATAGTTCATCATCCAGGAAAGTTGGGCAGGAACTGAAGTGGAGGTCATGGAGAAATGAGTACTGCCTACATGGTTTGTTCAGTCTGCTTTCTGATAGCACCCAGGACAACAACCCAATGGTTGACACCACCCATAGTGAGCAGGGCTCTCCCACAAGATGACACATCACGGGTTTGCCCACAAGCCAGTCTGGTGGGGCTATTTTCTCAACTGAGATTCCCTCTTCTGAAAGGCCTCTAGCTCCTCTCTTGTCATGTTGGCATAAAATTATCCAGCACAAGGAGAGCTGGGTTGGGGTAGGGGGCAGGAAGGCAAGGGAGAGCTAATCAACCCCAGCTGTTTGGATAACCAACGTCTTCCCAGGTTAGGAAGACCAAACTTCCTGGCTTTGCGTGTTTCAGTTTCATATACCAAAAGAAGAAAATCTTTGAAACTTCAATTTAACCCTTCAAAGAATTCCTGTACACTTGCTCCTCTGGGAAGACATCGCTCTAACTGTTGAAAGTAGGTGGGCCTGAAAAAGAAAGATAAAGTAGTTTCTTTCTGGTTCATTTCCCAAATAAGTAAAGTGCAGTGTAGTTCGTCAGTGGAGTTTAGTGAAATTCACCAACTTCCAGTTTACTGCAAACGCTACAAAATATCAAATGACAAATTGACTCATAGGAGCTCTTACAAGAGAGAACTGGGTGTCTTCCAGCGGGTTATATAAGACAATAGCATTTATAAAAATGAGCTTCTTTGGTAGTTTTCCTTGGTTCCCGAAGCTTTAGACACCCTTCTCACCTCTGGTAACTTCAAAGCTCATGCCAAGGCGTCACAAGCCCACCGCCTGCCCGTTGAAGCAAAGGCTGATTTCCTTACAGCCTCCATCCCACAGAGCCCTGCTCTTTTCAGGTGTCTTTAGAGAAAACAAAAGGCAAATTCTCCAAAGAATCACAAGCAAAGAAACAAGTAAGGGATTTCCAGAAGTCCAGAGCTTTAGTGTTAGATCTGAGAAAACACGATTTCGGTTGCTTGATTTATGTCCGTCTGAGAACATAATCCGTGAAAACAGCAGGATGCAGGCAGCGCCTTGACAATGTTCTTACTCGGTGCTCAATAGCATCTTTGCTGCCTTCTGGGCATACAATGCTGCGAGACAGAATGAACTCTCAGTGCTTTATTACAGAAAATAGCTATAAACTCCTGTAAGCTCTCTTATGCGATGTTAGCTGGAGTGGTTTTGACCGTGACTAGTAGATTGTATATTTTTCCCCAGTACCTCTGGTGGTCTGTTGACTGGAGCCCAGTCGAGCTTTCAAAAGACACGGACAGAAGGTTTACAAAGGCTATAAGAGAGTCAACCACAGGTAAGGGGGTGACAGCGAACTGACTACTGAGCTTGGAAAATGCGCCCCAAAGATACAACCCACCACCTATTTCTTCCCCACCCTTAATGCTCCCCAGAATTCAAGGCTATTGGGAAAATAAAGAAAGAAGATAGGAACGTTTATATGCAATTGCCGTGACTTTTACATTTGTAGGTTAGGATTAGGTTTATACATCTAGGAAGCAAGACAGTAACCTAGTAAAAGCTAGGTTACTGTCTATTCAGCCAGCACTGCCTAGCTTTGTGAGCAAGTAAGGACCTGGTACCTCTGACCCTTTTCATCCGGCTCTGGGAAGGGCTATGTTTAGTGCTGGTTCCCACAGAACCACCCTTTCTTCTTGGACACCAGGGGCCTCATCATCTTTAAGGTCTGAAATGAGTCTTTTCTTGTCCATCTGGTTCCTCAGCCATTTCACCCGATTCTTCATTGTCCCCGATTAGAAGGGAACAGTACGCTTACTCAGCAATGACTCAGTCTTGCCCGTAGCTCGCTCAGAGCTGTGTGTTTAGGCCCATAATTGGCTTTCTTTTCTTTGGCCCTCCCGCTTTTCATGACTAGGCTCTCAGACTGTCCTCTGAGAGGTACTTTTCTCTTGTTCCTCCCCTGGTTGTATTTTTCTGTTATTGACTGTATTTATTTTTCCCTTTTCCTTGCACGCATGTGTCCTCTATACTTTGTGTGCCAATTGCCCACCCACTCCAAACTTCCTATGTAGCTGAGGGTGGCTATGAACTCACGATTGTTCTATTTCTGCCTCCCACGTTCTGGGATTACAGGTGTGCATCATCATGCCCAACTGTTGGATTTTATGTCTTTTTTTCTTTTTAGAATGTGAGCGTGTGTGCGTGTACGTCTCTCTGTGTATGTATGTGTATACACACATATGTCTCTGTGTGTCTGTACGTTTGTGCAGATGTACTTAAATGCACATGCGGGCACAGCTGCCAAATGTGTGTAGAGGTCAGGGGACAGCCTCAGGTGTCATTCTCAGGAACAACATCTCGTTCCTTTGAGACCCCGTCTCTTATTAGTTCATAGTGCAACAATTGGGCTACAGTGCACACCACACCATGTCCGTCAGTTTTTACATGGATTTGGGGCTACTCATGTTTGACAAGCCTTTATCAGCTGAGGCTTCCCTCACCACAACTCTACCGTCCCTAGAGCCAGGGTGCCAGGGACTTTCTGCTTTGTATGTTGTCCTGTCTTTGTTAGAGCTTGTCTATCTGTGTATCATTGATTTCTGGAAAAGTTGATCCTTAGCCTGGCTTGCATATTCGGAGACCTGGCTGGCCTCAACCTGACACTGCGGGTCGAATTGAATATTCCATGCTTCATTTCCCACTCCAGTTCATCTGAATGCTATGGGAACTCTGGTTCCAGAAAGCTGAGGCTGACAATTGGAAAGATGGCTTGAAAATTCATCAGTTGGCGATCTTTTTACAGATGTGCGGCAAATGCATGTCTGCTTCCTCAGAAATTAATAATGCTTCTCATGAGTTTATTAGACTATATGAGTATGTGCTTGACGTTCATAAATCTTATGTTGTCCTCTTTTGCATGACACTGGTAGATAAATCCTGAGACCTCTCATGAACTGAGACATCCCTGGTTTACTGTGTGTATTTCTGGTTCTCTAATTTTCTAATAGCCTATGCTAAGAACATGGGATTTTAATTCAGTCATAACAGGATTAATCCATCTTAGTGCTTAGCTATGAATAGTTACCTCTAACAGTATATAGTGAGAACATGCAACTGTCCTTAGCAAGCTATAAAAATAACCAGAGTGCTAGTCGCAATTTATGTCCCCATTAGTTACAAATCTGTCCGTGTCTTTTATGAGTCCATTTGTGTTTCCCAAGAGAACTTTGCTGCTGTACGTGACAGTCACTCTCTGTGCACCAAAATGGCAGAGGAAGCCAGCTACAGAGAGTGAAGTAGCAAGAGAAAGTTATATTCTTTATGCCAATAAAACATAACAAAGGTGTACTTTGGACTACAAAATCAGACATAGATACAGTTCGAAACATGGTTATATGTTATAGATGTGGTGGGAGGCGTATGTAAATTTCAAAGAGGACAGATCTAGGTTTAAATTGCAGCTCTGCAATTAAAGTCTTAAGGACTCCCTTCACTTCAAGACAATTCAGCCCTTTCATTGATGAAAAAAAATGATAATATTTGCCCTTAATATCAGAATTAAAAGTAATATTAAAGAGTCTTTGATACCTAATACATGCTCAGTATACGGAAGAAGGGATAGTGATGATGTTCATTTGGTGTTTCTCATTTCAATTAGGATGACCTGACCCCGCCTTGACATAAGGAGAGGAACTCAGTCCTGCCTCACCTTGATGTGCTAAGCTTGGTGTAAGCCCATGGGAGACCTGAATGGAGATGTGGGGGAAAGGATGGGATGGGGAGGTGGGGGCTTGATGGGATGAGAGGAAGGAGGGAAAGTGGTTGGTATGTAAAATAAATGAAAAAACGTTATTTAAATTTTTTAAAAAAGAAAGGAAAACCTTGAAAGAAGGAACGAATGAATGTCGAGTTTTGTTTTGTCTCAGTCATCTGTAGCATATCTCTCACAGGGGACATGGTCTCAACCTCTGCTGTCTAATTCACTAGCCACATAAGGCTGTTTATAATTAAAACTTTAAATTAAAAAAAAACCCTGTTACTCGCTTGCACTACCCACAGTTTGAATGCCATTAGGTACACTGGATAAAGCAGATTTTCCACAATTACAGAAATTTCTGCTGGACTTTATAGACTTGTCCCGGACACTGTCCTCCAGCTTGGTTACTACGTCATAAAGCGCTGGTCAGGGATCTGGCAGCCATCTATAGGACTGGGGACCAAAGTGTTCCTGCGACCCTTCTACACCAGTCCCTGGACCCTGATTCCAATTCTCAAAGCACCAAGGCACATTTTCGTTCTTGTCCTCTCTCCCAGATGCCTACCTTAGTTCCAGATAGCTGATCACGAACTTGAGTGTAGAGTCCAACCTTTGAAGGTATTATATAAACCTCGTTCTGGGGAGAACTGAGTTTTCATTTCAAAGTAATGTCCCAAAGTCTCCCCCTGTAGAATTCCAGGAGGAAAGCCTGGGGTAGAAGATTGATAAGACATGATATTGATATAACATGAACACCTGGGTACTTTCAGGATTCAGATGTCCTATGCTAAAACTGAGAGCGGGAACCTTTGAAAGGTAACAGGTCATGGGGTCTCTGCCCTTGGGAATTAGTTTAGTGCCCTGTCGAAGTTCGGGGGACTTCAAAAGAAAAAAAAAAACCCTTCTACCATGGGAGGACAATAGAAGATACCATCTTTCAGGGCTGACTTCACCAAACACAAAATCGGCTGGTGCCATGATTTTGGAGTTCCCAGCCTCCAGAAGTGACATATAATGGTGTCTGGTTCTCAGAAGTTTCTCTGTTCCAGATAATTTTTTTCCCGTAGCATCCTGGATTAAGATAGGAATCTATTTGATATGTGGGTGACCAACTGGTCTCTTCTGTCCATACCTAATTCTGTTCTCTCTGCACTAATTGAGTAAATTGAAATATGAAACATCTCTCAGGAGGGTCATATTTGGGGGAGATGGACAAGTGGGGCAGGCATGCAGAAGACTGTTGAAGTCTTTTATTTATCCAGCACAAAGTGTGCATCACACAGTGCTAGTGCGGCTTATACAATAGGAGTATGGAATGGTTAAACAATGTAACTCTGAGGCTTTCCTGATAAGCAGACCACTAAGTAACATTTGACTGAGAGTATCCTGGTGTTGATTGACGTAAAACAATAGAAGGGACATAGATGTGCCAAGTCCAATCAGGAAATTACTTTCCTGGCTGAAGTTGCCAAGCTCCCAGTGTTTCTATTGCCGAGAGAAAGCAGATTGCAGGCGTTGAAGCCCAGATAAACACTAGGTCATATAATAAAGAGAGGAGAGACTTCCACCATGGTGCGGGTATTTAGCAGGGATCTATGGGGAAAGCGGCCTCTTTGAATGCAGCCGATGAAGACTGTATCAAAACACATACTATAAAAAGGACCACATTGCTTGTCATTTAATACATGAGAGTGGCATCATTATATAAAACAACATGGGACTATAACCATACAGAAGATACATAAAAAAGATCAACAGTGCCTGAAGACTCGAGCCAAGAGGAAAGTTCTGACCTGAGTGATTTAGAACAGAAAGAGTTCTAAGTCACACCAAAGAAAGCCAGCTGGCAAGGCAACAGTCACCAGGACAGAAAGGTTATGAACTGATACCAGAATTCTCTCTGTGTGTAAAAGATTAAGCCATTAAATTATTAATTGAACCCAAGGACTAAATGTATTTCATTCATTATTTGTAATGTGAATTAGTACTTTTGAAGTGTTTAATATTTTTTAAATCCTGATTAAAATTCATTTCCCACAGATAGATGAATTAATCTTGTTTGTATCAGTCTTAACCATAGGTATTTGAGTTGGCTGGACTTGGGTTTGTGTGCCCTAACATATAACAGAAGGACACCGTACCAAACACCTCCAAGCTGGGCCTGCAGGCAGGTGAAGGATGCAGAGTTGCAAGACAACACCGACTGCCATGAAGGATGGAGACACAGGAAGTCTCACCTGTACATGTGTGCTCCTCTTTCCCACCAGGGAGGTTGCTACAGTTCTGAAGTAAGCCCCTACGTGAGAAGTCACGGTAACCAAGCTGCAGACCCCAAAAAGGCCACCCCACCAAAAACCAACTCACTGTGATCCAGTGTTCTGCTGCTATATTCTTTTATTTTTTAATTTCAGTTTCTCCACCGAGTCACAGCAGGCATCTCCCCAGGAACCTCGAGACACTTAAGTACATTGCGCACTTCAGATGCAAAGTCTTGGGGAAGGGAGGAGCTTTGCCCAGTGCATCCTGCCATCTCTCCTCTGCCAGAATGTTCCTACTTCTTTGCTATGTCTGTGTGCTGCATCTGTCTCTCACACCAAACACCAAAATGTCTGGTTGAAGCTGTTGGTCTCCCAATATTATTCTAAGAGTTGCTTTTAGCAAACAGGTCATCCATTGAAGTGGTTGCAAGTTAAACTGGTCACTTGAGGGACCGAATTAATGGGGTCATTTGACCTAAAACTGATAGCTTCTTGAGAACCACCACCAAGAATTCCAGAGACAGCCCAAGCCCTGCTCACACCTGCATTTTGTCTTGTTCCATACTTTAAAAGTGACATTTGCAGTCATTCTTCATGTAGCCTGATTCCTGCCATATTCTTGCGGAGCTCGTATTATTGTTTATTTAATATTAGGAATGAACCTGACTCATGGTTCTATTTTTAATTCCTGCCATCAAAGGTAACTTTTTCAGAGTGTGGTGCAAAAAGGTGAGAGAATATGCCACCCTAAAATATATCACCATGGTGTAAGGATTAATTTCAGCTCCAGGCACTTCAACAAGCAGGCACAATGACAAAGGCATTGCCACCTTTTCTTCCTAAAAGTAGAACGGAACCCCTCCCTCGCCCCACACCATGGAAGGAATTTTCTCTATGCCAGAAAGGATTCTTCCTACCAAAGAGGGGAGCCAAGGCTGAGAAAAACCATCTAAAGAAGCCTGGATAAGCACTCCACTCCCTGGTTGCCTCTCTACTTTGAACTGTCTGACCCTTGTCTGGTCATAGCCTCATAATTCCCTGCTCTTTGCCCAGTCCGGACAATGAATGTTCAACTCTTGTGCCCTGGGGAAGGGGCATCTTTTTTTTTCTTTCTTGGTTTTCTCAGGTTGTGGAATTTTAAAATAAATAAATGCATGCATTTTGCTCTTTTTGTTGGTTTAACTCCTAGGTCCTATCAAACACAATGAAGGGAGAAACAAAATGTTGCCTCCCAAGGAGTACTGAGCAAGAAAGTACCTATGAGTTTGCAAGTTGACCCTGGCAGGTTTTTTTAAAGATTTATTTATTTATTATGTATACAACATTCTGCCTCCATGTGTGCCCACACGCCAGAGGAGGGTGCCAAACCTCATTACAGATGGTTGTGAGCCACCATGTGGTTGCTGGGAATTGAACTCAGGACCTCTGGAAGAGCAGCCAGTGCTCTTAACCACAGAGTCATCTCTCCAGCCCAACCCTGGCAGTTTTTTGAGTATATACAGAAAATAATCAAAATTTGAATGTAAATAAGTGGGTTCATCACTGGATTGCTTAATTTCATGTCACACATGAAACAATTAAATTTTTTTAATTTAATTAATTAAATAATTAATGGGAGAACAATTAAAATCAAGGAAATCATGGCTACCTGCCCAGGGAACTACCACTTGACTAGGACTTCTATAATGGGCAGCACCCTGGCTTCACCCTAAGTGTCTCTGGGGCAGTGGGCCATAGGCATAACAGTTTATAGCACCTTTCCAGTGGTTCTAATTACATCCAGCGTGGAGAAGGACAGCTCTAAGCCATGCTATCCCAGTGACTCAGGAAGGCAGGAGCCAAGCCAAAGTTGCTGCTCACTGCTTTGTCCCTGCCTTTAGAACAATGGCTGTCCTGAATCAATGTTGAGTCCTTCAGTATCCCAAGAGAAGTAGCTGAAAGGAACTGGTAGGATCAGTTGATGCTGCATTTAGGATGGGTAATCCCAAAAGACAGAGGCTAGTTAGTGAATGAGTTGGCTCAAGCCTAGATACCTGAGTTTACTAGCCAGGACCCATGGTGGGAGGAGAGAAACGACTCCAGCAAGTGGTCCTCTGAAAAAACGTACATGATGGCCCGTGTGAACATGTGTGTGTGTGCACACACGCATGCACAGAGGGAGGGAGAGAGAGAGAGAGAGGAAGAAATCTAGGCAGGTGATTCCAGAGGGGGCCCTGGAATGAAGGCTTAGAAATTTTCTTGATTTGTATCTTTAGAGTTTTTCATTGACACTCTTAGGGGCCAAATGAATTCAAGTTCCCTGGTCCCTCATCCGTCTGCGGGCACACTTCCTCTTTCTTCTTGAGCAGAGTGCCTAACCTCTCAGCTACCTTGTTTTCTTTGCTTCAGATGAGAAAAATCAAGTTCCAGCATTGGTGAATAAGGCTGATGAACAGCTCTCTGCAGCAGCGCGATGTCCTTCCTGCAAAAGGCCCCGAGGGAGAACAGCTTGTCTTCAGACTGTATCCAGCGAATGTGTGTTTCTAGGAAGGATTAAAGTGGTATTATCAATTATGCCAAACCTTTCTCTGCTCTGGCCTTCGCATGCCTTAGCTAAGCACCCTTGAACACACACAATGTGATCTTTTATTGTGTTGGCCGGGGTGCTTATAAATGTGAGTATATGTGTTCATCCAAGTAATTTAAAAATAACCTAAGAGAACGGAGTAAATGAGTGTGTGTCACATTTACCAGGAATATTAGGAAGCAACGGCCTTTAGATGTCTGACTTAGCTCTGGCATTGTGTCAGGAAAGAACTGGCTCACGTCGCTTGCATAAGTCTTATGTAAGAGATTAGATATGGGGCCCGAGCTGTCCTACTTATTAAAGCACCAGAAAAGCAACGCTTGCTATGTTGTTGACACTTGCTTGGCCCCCTCCTTGCAAGCGTCTTTATTTCTAGACCTAAGCACTTCCTGTTGCAAAAGTTATTCTAAAAAAGAAAAGAAAAAAAACAGCCTTGCTTTTCTAGGGCTTTCCATAAGAATGTATCTGGAAGGGAAGAAGCCTACAGACTGGATAGGTATTTACGTCTGTTCCCATGGGCAGTACTTGAGAGCTGTAGAAAACAACTTAAAGCTGCACATTCTACACATGGATAGTGTAGATTTCCGTGCATCTCATAAACTGGCTCTTCAAAACTTAAAGCACAACACATTACCCTGTTTGCTTTGCTTTCTGAAAGGGATCTTCAAATCTTAATTTTCAGAAAACTGACGCAAAGACCACATATGACTCAGTCTTGCCTCTTCTATAAGGTCATGCTTGACTCTTCTGAGATGTAAATACGCGCGCGTGTGTGTGTGTGTGTGTGTGTATCCGAGCTTGAACAGAGGAAATACCTTGAATTTTACAGTAGTTATTTTAACCACCAGAACCATAAGTTAGTTGACGTAGGAACTGAGAAAATCTCTTAATTTCTCTGAGGTTGTGTTTTAGGGGTATAATAACTTAGGATAGATCTATGACTTTTTAAATTATGTTTTGATGCAGGACCAGCTTTCAATAACATTTTATGTTTCAAGTTCTTAAGTGTAGTAGGCATTACCCTAGTCCTTTATTTAGAGAATTTAATTCATTTAATCTTTATGGTAACTTCTATGCTGCTATGGATAGTATCCATCCTCTCTAGGTGACTCAGACCCAGGTCACCAAAGCTGTAAGTTAGGCAAGAAGACGTGAGCTGAGATTGTGCATGGTAAGCCTCCAAAGCCTGTAAATGCATGCAGCGTTAAGCATGTATCATTCACAAAACCTTAGGGCCTGTATCGTGTCACCGCATGAACCTCTGCTCTCTCCGGAAAGGAAATCATGTCCTGAAACCACGAATTTCGACCTCTGCCGATGGCAGTGTCGCCATTGATGTCATTTACCACTTGATTTGCAATTGTTAGCAGCTTGAGGTAGACGGGAATCAAGAGCAGATTTAGTGAGCTATTAAAAGCCGGAATATAGCCATTTATTCCTTTAATATTTCACCTTCTAACATTTCCAATTTGCCTCTGTGAAGGGACTCTAAACATTAACAAAAGTACACTTGGAAGAAAAAAACAAGTAAGGCATGGATTTATTAAAATTTAACAACTTTCAGTGATAACTATTTTCTAATGTTATAAAAACAATTATCAACAAAAAAATCATACAGTTACCAAATTCCCTGACAAATTCCCACAGTCAACCATGTGAGTACAAAGGAACTGTTTCATTCACTGATGTAAAATGTAACCACAAAGCAAGCAATAGCCACAAAGCTTGTAACACATGTTCTTTAGAGAAAACTGATTTCTTTTCACTTGATTTGATGAAATTGGATCTGAAAGAATTGGAGCTTGTTTGTTTAAACTCAGTAACTTGCAAGGCTCAGTGACTTTAAAAATATCTACCTAATGTTCCATTTACATCCTATTCACACTTCAAATATATTTCCCAATATCTTATTTGTGTTTACCCATAACTAGAAGTACAGTCTCTGTGAACTGAATATTATAAAAATTATCGTATATATCAAGCTACATTCTATACATATTATACATAGCATATATGTATTACATGATACTTGATATGTAATGTTCATCTTTAACCATAATGGATTAATGCTTTAATACTGTTGTCAAAATCATCATCATCACCATTATTACTGTCATTATAAAGTTGACAACTCATTCTTGGCCATTGTGGATGGTAGACAAGCACTCTGATACTAAGATACATGTCCCATGCTCACTCTTCACCTTTTAGAACAAAGGTCCGGAGACCCATCCTAATAGTTGCTCTAATGATACTACAGACTGCATGGATCATATCCTTTCATAATCTAGTTTACAAATACTACCTTGCATTGTAAAAACCAAGAATAGTTCTCTGATTGTGTGCATTATTATACTTACCAATAAGAAATTGTACAAATATAGGCAAGTTCTAACAGAAAAATAAAAAGCCGGAATAATTAAAACCAGCCTGAAATATCTGCCTAGACAAAAACCATGTTCTAGTATAGTTATCCGTGGAAAGAAACTCTGCAAATGGAATTGGCTTGTATGAATTAAGGCATTGAGTCCTCGTGGTTTTCTGGTGAGACTTGGCTAGAGCCATGAAGCTAGCCTAGAAGTATCCTGTGCATAGAACACACCTGGAATCCCAGCACTCAGCAACCTGAGCCAAGAGGATCGTGGGGTCAAGGATGGCCTGCTCTTCACAAAGAAATTCTGTCTTAACAGATACTTTTTAAAGGCATTTTTCATGACATCAGTGATGTATGAGGACTGCCAGACACAGAGAAATACCAAGTGACATGTCAAGATTTTTGTATAGTACTCCAACTTGTCCATTAACTTTCAAAAGTCTATGGTTAGAATGTGAAATGCCTCAGAAATACCAGGAGAAGAGGGAAGTTTAAGGTAAGCTGCCCTGAGGGGTTTTATGTAAAGTCAAAAGGCTGAGCAGGGGTCTGTAGTGATGGCTCAATAGTTGAGAGCACTTGCTGCTCCGGGACTTTGTCTCCAGAACCCAAGTGGCTTTTTCTAAACCTCTATAACTCCAGTTCCAGAGATGCAGCCCCCTCCTCTAGTGCCACGTGCCCCAGACATACACATGGGGCACCTACATAAATATACAGCACTCATACACATAAAATAAACCCGATGGAAGTTTAGTTACAAAGGTTGCTGACCCAGCCCCATGCTGTTCCCATGGTGATAGGATTTCCCTGCAGCCTTTACAATGAGAAAGAACCAAGATTTCCTGAATCTGCTGTTTTATGGATAGTTTATGAGGGAGAACTAACTCACTTGGTCCTTGTGATTAGTCATCGTGGCTCGGTACCTCCAACATAGACATAAACCTAAGTATAACAAGCCATGTATAATTCAGCACTATTGTTATTCTGAATGTAGATTAGGAACATAAATGCTACATAAAAGTCCCCCTAAAAAGTAAGTCAGCCAACGTTAGTGTCTGGATAGCTAAATACCTTGAAAGAAGTATCTTCAGAAGGAGTCGTGGATTAGGGTGGATAAACATTTTTGCAACTATTTGAGTGTTAACGCTTTCAGAATGCTGAAGCACACCCACCAGGGTGTCAAGATGATTAGGCCAGGGTGCCCAGAACTTTAGGATGAAACACAGCTATAGTATTTTACCACATCCTCGAGAGAAAAAGCAGCATTTTATTTGTGCATCATTTACGTTTACCCCAAGCTTCCAAGTTGGATCTCATCAAGCGTCTTTGATAAGTGCATCAGTAAGGAAACTCTGTTCTGGGACCACTAAGGTGGAAATGCTGTTTAGATGGGTGTTCACACACGGGCTACTTGACTCATTTGTCCAGAAGTTCCTTAACTCTTCCAGAAGGTTTTAAAGGACCAGATTAAATGTTGTATGAATAAGCTTTCCTGAAATAAATTACAAAACACATCTTTGTGCTTCTGGCAGTGACTTTTTACATTTTTCTGACCTTAAATGTGTCATCTTATCAAGCAAATTTTCAAGACAAAAGGTGCTCCGGGGAGGTTTATTGTTTCTGAAATTGTACATACGTCCTTATTTCAGAAGTCTGGCAATCTTTACTGTTCAGCATCCTTATAATTTCTCAGAGTTTGAAATCGTTATCAGTTTAACTACACAATATGGTCTTAGAAGATCTATTTGGGGCAGAAATGTCCAATTTGACTTTGCCCTCTTACTTTCCTAGGCTCACGTGGTTTTGTCATCAAACAGGCGTTCGTTCAGGTTTTGAGTTAACCCTGATCAGTTTTGTTTTATAGAAGTCTAGTACATTTGCTTAGGGCTAGAATATGTACTTCACAAGCTATTAATTGGGTCGCATAAGATTATAACCAAATTGCCTGGAAGAGCAAGAGGGCAGGCATGCATGTGGCAAAGCCCACATGCTCCCCTGAGTTCTTTAAATCTAGCAGGCCATGTGTGCCTGGACACAGCTTAAGGGAGGGTGTGACACTTAGTATTTTACTGTCAATTCGACTGGGCTAGGAAATACCAAGGTAGCTCATGAAATGTTAATTAGGAAAGCCAGATATGGTGCCCAGAGTTCAAGGCCAACCTGGGATACTGCAAGACCTCATCTTAAACAAAATAATTCAAACAAAAAAACTGAAGTGTTTCTGGGTTGGTATTGCTGAGAAAGACAAGCATTTCACTCAGCAAACTGGGTAGGGAAGATTTACTTTCACCAGTGGGCATCCCCCAGTAGGATCCCAACAGAACAAATAGGAGGACGAAAGAGAATTTTTTCCTGGCGGCTGAGGTAGCATCTTCTCCAGCCCTTCAACATCAGATCTTTCCAGCCCATCCCTTGAAGTCTTGGTCTTAGACTGTGCTCACATCATCATCATCCCCCCATCTTCCCAGCCATCAGACTTGGATGGAAGTTCAGCTGCTACTCCAGTTTTCCTGATTCTCAGCTTGCACATGGCAGACC